TGTGTGTGTGTGTGTGTGTGTACACACACACACACACACATATATACACACACACACACATACACACACACAATGGAGTATTACTAGGCAATCAAAAAGAATGAAATCTTGCCATTTGCAACTATGTGGATGGAGCTAGAGGATATTATGCTAGGTGAAATTAGAGAAAGACAAATATCATATGACTTCACTCATGGGAATTTAAGAAACACAACAGATGAACATAAGGAAAGGGAAGCAAAAATTATATAAAAATAGGGAGGGGACAAAACATAAGAGACTTAAATATAGAGAAGAAACAGAGGGTTGCTGGAGGGGTTGTGGGAGAGGAATGGGCTAAATGGGTAAGGGGCTTAAGGAATCCACTCCTGAAATCACTGTTGCATTATATGCTAACTAACATGGATGTAAATTAAAAAATAAATTATTAAAAAAAAAAACAACTTGTTGAACAAGTCAAACCAATAAAACTTTTCTCATGTTTCTGCCATTAAAAAGTGATAAAAGATTATATGCATTCATTTCTTTAAAAAAAGCAGTACAACTACTATTTGTAGTTTCAAAATACTAGAAAGGATCCAATGTCAATATGTAGAAGAGTGACTGAATAGACTACAGCACATCTCAGAGTACCATACACCTACAAAAAAGATGATCTAAAAGTAATATGGAATGATTTCCAGGACATACTTCTAAGTGAAAAGAGCAAAGTACTAAGAAAGATGTATAGTATGTGTGGTAGCCAGCCTTTAAGATGGTCACCAATGATTTCTCCTTTTGATTTTCACTTCCTTGCAAAGTCCCCTCCCACATTGTACCAGGGATGGTCTGGGTACCCGCTTCTGATCATAAAGTAGACACTGTAGCTTCTGTTTTGTTGCTGTCTGATCATCTTCCCTGGAGATAGCCAGCTGCCATGCTGTGCGCATCCCTATGAGATCCACACAAAACTCAGGCCTTTCCAGACAACAGGCAGTAAAGAACTGAGACCTTTCACCAAAGCCAAATGAGTAAGACTGAAGTGTCTTCTCTAGCCCAATGAAACCTTTAAATGACTGCAGCACCAGATCACACTGTGATCCATGCAGGGAACTACAACTTCATGTGGAACCCAAACCATACCCACCCAGCTAAGCCACTACTGTATTCTGGCCTTTCAGAAACTCTGAGAGATAAGCAGCTAAATGATAAGTTTTAAGCAGCTGAAGTTTGGGGTAATTTGTTATGCAATGATACGTAACTACTATAGTATGCTACTACCTCTCATGTAAGAAAGAGGATATGTGAAATCATACATGTATCTGCTCATTTGTGTTACATAAATGCAGGACGGATAAACTAGAAACAAAAGAGATTAGCAACATCCAAGGGGCAGGAAGAAGGGGGAAGAAGAATGGAGTCAGAGGGATGAAGGAGGAGTAGTCCTCTGAGTATACCTTTTGTGTAGCTGTGTTAAATCATAGTCCTGTTTAACATACTCAAGAAATAAGCAATTAAAACTAACCAAGAAAAGGAAAAACAAGCAATAATAAATTAATTTAATCGTATAAAGGAATTAACATTATGGCATGAAGAGTGTGGAGAAAAAAAAGAACCTAAGTAACTTCAGAAAACAATAGTTTGAATGAATCTTATAAGGCTAAAAGAACTGGGGCGCCTGGGTGGCTCAGTCGGTTAAGCGGCCGACTTCGGCTCAGGTCATGATTTCGTGGTCCGTGAGTTCGAGCCCTGCATCGGGCTCTGTGCTGACAGCTCAGAGCCTGGAGCCTGTTTCAGATTCTGTGTCTCCCTCTCTCTGACCCTCCCCCATTCATGCTCTGTCTCTGTCTCAAAAATAAATAAACGTTAAAAAAAAATAAATGCTGTAATCTACTTAGTAAGTTTGTTTCTCACAGTGGTATGGGTTAACTATTCTAAAACTATTTTATGTGGATAATAGGACTCAACAAATACTGTATCATAGAAAATAAAAGCCATACTTTTCATTGTTTAGAGACAGGACGTTACAAATAAGTAAAGGGAAAAGGCTGAAATGAACCCTGTCATGTTGGACTGAAAGATGTATCAGTATAAAAATATACAGACATATAGGTGTGGGGTTAGGTGAAAGAGGGACTATAAAGATACATCTTTCCTAGCTCTATCTGCTGAGAGGGCCTAGAAGCAATAACATCTCAGTAGCAATGAATACACCTAGCACTCAGATTTTGGTTTCTAATTACCATTCTCCAATTGAAGGAGCCAAAACTCCCTGTTGAAGTGGTTGGTTCTAGGGCTGAAGGAGAAAAAATTCAAAATGAGCCTGGAACATTTTGAGATTACAGGAAGTAAGGAGGTACTCAAAAAAGGATGGGAGCTTGTAAAAAGTACACAAGGCCAAAGCTGGAATAATCTGGGCAACAAAATAAATAATAGCACTGAATTATAACCAACAGAATAAATATCTATGAGTAAAGACCAATATAAATAAAAAATTGAAAAATATATAGGAAAGAAGAATTCTTTTAATAGATACAGAAGAATAACTCTTGTTTATAAAGAAGAAGAGATCAACAGAAAATCACCATTAGGGAAACACCACAGTAATAAGTGTTGCCAACAAGATCCACTGAAGGATAGTTAAAATGGGGATGGGGAAATATAAGAAGGAAACAGGATATTTACACAGTTTTAAGGTAACTCCAAGATCTTTACAGTGGAGGAACCTGGAAGATACCACCTTAACCAAGTAATCAAAGTTAACATTACCAGTAACAGGACATGTCAACATCATGAACTCCTGATACAATGCACTGAAAAGGACACAACAGTGCTTCAGAGGTATTCTAGCAAAAACTGGACAATGTCAGTCTAATCATGAGAAAACATCAGACAAAGCAAACTGAGGTACCTTAAAAAAAATGGTTTAAGTATCCCTCAAAAGTACATTGTCAGATCCTGGATTGGAACTTGAAACAAAAAAAAGGATATTTGTAGGAAAACTGGTGAAATTCAAGTAGGCTCTGTAGTTTATTTAACAGTAATGTACAAGTATTATAATATGGTTATATAAGACACTGGCATTAAAGAAAGACGGGTAAGGGGATCTCTCTGTAATATCTAAAGTTTAAAATCAGTTTTAAAAAAAGTTAGAAGTTGATATGTAATTATGTAGACCTAAACAAGTAAAAAGAATACATAAAATGATTCTTTAGCTGATCTCTTAGCCCCCCAAAATTTATTTCATCAATGTAGATACACATTTTACTTTGAAAGGACTCAATGACTAAATATTTTATAGCAGAATAGATCAAATCAGGTAGCATTATAGCTACATTACACTCATCTACTAAACTTGAGTACAAAAGTATCACCAATCTATTAACACTTCCATGAGGATGACAATGAATATCTTTCAAATTCTACTTGTCAACCACTAAAAATATATTTTTCCAAAGTTAAACAAGTCAGTTAACCTCAAAACAAAGCAAAATAATACCACAAATCTTCACTAAAGTACAACTGTAAATGAAAAACATTCTTCTCTACAAGTACCAAAGATTTCACTATAATTTCTCTAAATTCTTTTCTATATTTGGTACCTGTGGTGTTCTTTACAATCTCTGTTTTTTAATACTTACTGCTTGGTTTTCCATGCGTGCAAAGATAACATTTAGCATCTGAGTAAGAGTAGCTTTGGCTGTCGTCTGATTGATGAGATTTTTGCTTGCTAGATAGATATTGTAACATGTTCTCACAGCTTGCAGGACAGTTCCTTCATGAATTTCTATGTGTTGCGATGTTACTGCAGTAAGTAAAGCCTTTAAAAAGAAAGACACAGTTAAAGCAATTTTCTGCATCCTGCATTTCAGCACAAAAATATGAGTATTTTTATATTAGAATTAAAACTTTTAGATACCATTAGCACTTTCAAGTACACATGAACAGAATTTTCAGTATACACCCAACCGAATTTCTAACCTTGAATATGTATTATCAACTGGCAGTAATTTCCAAATAATCCTCCCAAACCCAGAACACAAGAAAACTATACAATTAAATTGTTTCAACACTCAAGTTTCATTTTTATAAAACTATTAGTCTATTAAAATGCACAGCACTAATTGTCCAGCAGAACACAGATATGCTTCCTAAGACATATGCTTCATATGACATATCTGTTGAATAAGGCTGTCAACTTTGGAGGGTACCTACTGTCTTATTCACTTCCAAATTTTTCTGAGATGGTTCTCACAGATCAGACTAAATAAATATACTGCTGTTGTTGGTGAAGATGTTTACACACAGAATAAAGCATTCAAGTATCAGATTAAATTAGAATAAAGCATTTAAAATAATCCTAAGTGAATTTCCCAATAAACTTTGTATGAATGTTCACAGATTAGGGTACATGCAATTTCTCAAGAGCAAGGACTCTTTTGTCCTTTATGCTGTACAATACTACACAAAGTCAGCACTGAGTTTATTTTAAATAAACCATGATTGATATTAAATTGCAAATGACAGGGGGCGCCTGAGTGGCTCAGTCAGTTGAGCATCCAACTTCGGCTCAGGTCATGATCTCATGGCTCGTGAGTTCGAGCCCCGTGTCAGGCTCTGTGCTGATGGCTCAGAGCCTGGAGCCTGCTTCGGATTCTATGTCTCCCTCTCTCTCTGCCCCTAACCCACTCACATTCTGTCTCTGTCTCTCTCAAAATAAATAAACATTAAAAAAATTAAAAAAATAAATAAATAAATTGCAAATGACAGGCCAACTGATTGGACAGCATTTTTAGAATAACTTGTGAAGTGACTACAGCTATGAAACTGAAAGGCTCAGAGGGGCTTTATCTACACTTGAAAAACACTTTATACATGTAAATGATTTCAAAAGTACTAAAAGTACAAGAAAATTTTACTGATGCTTAACATATCACCATGACCATTAGCAGTCATATTAAGACTTCAATATTTATAACAGACTAAAAACACAACTGAGTGACTTTTCTTTAAAGGAGTTTGATCACCCAGGTGTATTATAGCACAAACCCAGAAGAAAGTTTGGCTGAGCATGTTCAGCAAATGAACAGGTGCAAGGGAATCAGTAAGGCTGATGCACAAATAGTTCACATGGTGAAGCATGGGTCTAGAGGGCAGAATACAAGAGATCCAGAAGTAGACAAGAAACTTAGAGGGGTCACAGGACCATCATATGAACCCTAAAGCTCAAAAGACGGAATATGTAGGGCAAACATTCCAGAAACCAAAATACTCTGGAAGACTCTGGGAGCCACAGCCTAAATTGGGACCTTCAAAATAACAGACCTAGAAATATAGTTCACTAGTGAACTCTTGGCATTCAACAAAATCCACTCATATGGGGTCTAAAAAGCAACTAAATGACCTCTATTAGCGATGGAAAGCACATAAAATGACCTTTCCAAATATATCCAACATAAATGGCTTCTGATTTAAAAAATATATAGAGGGATGCCTCGGTGACTGAGTCAGCTGAGCATCTGACTCTTGATTTCGGCTCAGGTCATGATTTCATGGTTTGTGGAATTGAGCCCCTGCTTGGATTTTTTCCCTCTCTCTCTCTGTCCCTCCCCTGCTGGCATGGGCTCTCTCTCTCAAACTAAATAAACTTTAAAATGTATACACACACACACACACACACACACACACACACACACACACACACAATGACAAATTCACTATATAATCAATTACCTTTATTATTTGCAACTGAACTCCTTCATCTGTTTGAGGACCTTGGAAGCAGCCACAAATGGTTTCAATAATTCTATCAATTAATTTTTTGCCTGGTGTTGTACTATCTGGAGCATTGCCAGTCAAGTGCCCATAAGCAATAAGTTTCTAAGATGCAGAAAAAAAATAAAGATCCTAATTAAGCTAATATATATACTAATTGAATATACTTTAAAATTATAATATGTAATTGAATATATGTTAAATTTTTTACATAAAAACATTAAAGTATAATCAAATCCAAGGCTATACTAACTTTTCCTGAAGAAAGGTGTATTAGCTATAAACATGTAAAATTATTTACATTCATAATAACCACAGAAACATACTAACCAGAATAAAACCATCAGGCCGTATTTTGAGAAAGCCACACTTTAGATCTGGTCTGATGAATCAGAATAGGTTACTGCTTTCTTTGTAACCATTATTGATACTGCTTTTGTGAAAGCTATCAACATATTTAAATGATTCAATCTCTTTCTGCATCAGATCTGTGAACATACAGAAAACCCAATTTCCATGCACTGGCTGTAACAAATCATGGATTTGTTCAATCATCATCCATTATAGCCCTGGAAAGCCTTAGATATCAATGAACTTCATCTAAATCCCGAACTAATCATATAAATACGGTTTTTTCCTAGCCACTGAATTATTGGTTCAATACATATAATTCCCCAAACAGTGAAAAGACCTGAAGAGAGAAAGACCCCTCTATCTGGAAATTTTACAAATATCTTAAGAGAATCCCGTGTGTGTGCACACACACGTTTGTTTAAGTAAAACAGGATGAAAGAGTTAAGGAATTTTTCTGACATACGTGAAAATTAGAGCTGAAGTCCAGCAGTGAATAATTAAACTGTCAATATTAACCTATTGCTTTATATAAAACAGCAGGCATTCAGTAAAATCATTGCAAATAATGATGTATGTAAAGTCAGTAGCAGGTTAAAAGTACTATGGTTCCTGCATTTCACTGATGGAAAATAAGACCAAATAAACACTAAGTAAAGATTATTTGTCTCACTAAGCCAACTAATGATTTTTGTTACCCTTAAGCTAGAAACACCTTTTTGAAACTATTATTCTGTCTCTCTTGTATATTAGCAACCATCTGCCTTCTTACCACAAAAAGAATACTCAAGGCTTTCATGGAACATGTCTGAATCACCAATTATGGTAATGTTTAGAAACACATTCAAATTAAATAGTTTTTAGATAATGCCATTTTATACATACCTGTAAACAATCAAGAGATGTACTAACTATACGGGGACATTTGGACTGGCACGCCAATTCAAAGGGTAAGAAGTACTTGTCTGCTTCGATAAAATTTGTCTTTGATTTCACTGGTGGAAGGGTGCTTGATCCACCTTTTGCTTCTCCATGAGGAGGACTAAAGGAAAAAATAGAGTATGATTAGAATATTACATTGATTGTACTGATGATAAACTCATATGAAAACACAAAATTTCAGTTTGAAAGGAATTTTGCTAAACAATCTTCCATCTTCCCGTATTTCATGAGGGTAACCAAAGCCCAGGGAAATGAAATGATTTGCTACAGGTAAAAAGCTAATGGCCAGAGCTGTAACTAAATGCAAGAAAATCAAAGAAATTAAAATAGCTATTTAGTCACTGAAAAAGTATTTAAATTATAAAATAATCATTTGGTAATCTTTCTAAATATGAATCAAAGTCTTTACACAAAGACTTTAAAGTGTATCTTATGGTATTTCAGGAATACCCTCTTATATTTATGAGATCTGCTTATATTTCTTAAAAACTTTTTATTATTAATTTTATCATAAAGATCACATACAGAAAATCTGCCACATATAGATGACTGTATTACTATTTTAACCAAGACTGGTAAGTTTGCAAATTATTTTTACTAAAGAAAATAAACCCCACAAACCTCTGTTTTTCAGTTTCCGCTTTTATTTCCTCTGGGGGGAAAAAAAAGAGGCACATGTTAGAAAACTTGACAACAGAAAGATCATTAAGTAATTTCATTATAAACTTTGTAAACTAATTCATAACTCCTATAAGAAGTTGGGAAGAATGCAAATTCAAAAGAAAATTCAGTAGCTAAAATTCTCTTGCTGTTTAATGTATTAATTTATAAAATATAATTTTATCAAACTATACAAAGAATATATATTAATAACCATAAGGATAGGTACAACTACAGGTTACTAATTCCCAAAGCGTTTATTTTCTCAAAGTAGCTCTTTTTTTGTTGTTGTTGATTTTTTGTTAAGTAACTACATTAACCAGAAGGATTAATATTAAGAATAGAGTATTAAGTATATTGTATTCAAGTTATAAAATTAAGGCATATGTTCAGTGAGAGGAAAAAACTGAACACATCACTCCTAAAATTATCTCTCAAGATTATTGCACTAGGACTATAACCTCTTGACCATGGACATATGTGTTGATATTTAACCAATTTTTCTACTATGACTACACAAGGCACTGTAAAAATACACATGCTCAATTCAATGGTAAATTTTCCCTTTTGTTGTTTATAGCATAAGAAATGAGGTAAATTAGATAAAGCCTACCTATACTAAAAGACCCTTAAATTTAACTGATAGGCTGGGGAGTCCAGTTAATTGTTTAAACCTGTTTAAAATTTGGAAGGAAAATCAAACATAACATTTATAATTACTATTATTATAACCAACAGTTGTTGACAACTAACTATGTGCCAAGCACTATTACATTTTAAATGTACTAACATAAGCCTCACAGCAATCTTCATTTTAAAGATGAGGAAAATGATGCAGCACGTGGGTGGCTCAGTTGGTTAAGCGTCCAGCTTCAGCTCAGCTCATGATCTCAGTCTGTGAGCTAGAGCCCCCCATCAGGCTCTGTGCTAAAACAGCTCAAAGCTTGGAGCCTGCTTCGGATTCTGTGCCTCCCTCTCTCTCCACCCCCTCCTCCAATTGCACTATGTCCCTCTCTCTCTGTCTCAAACACAAACACTTAAAAAAATTTAAAAATTAGGAAAATGAAGCACAAAGAGGTCAAATAATTTGCTCAAGGGCTGCATGGCTTGGGTGTATGGCTAATCAGGTTTCACAACTAGATAATCTAACTTCAGATCCTGGTTTCTTAACCACTCTATTACATATGTGTACCTATGAATATTGACCAAATGTGTTAAAATTGGTATTATAAACTACTAGCCTGTAACTTAATCATTATTAAGTTATCCAGAGACTATATTAAGCCCTTTCTAAAGTGATTTTGTCAAATCACTTTATCATAGGTACATAAAGTTGTATCTATCATTACCTACTCTGTGCTGAGCATCTGATGTTTGGTATTTCAGTTTAGTTCTCTGTGGGCTAAAGCTCTTTTCATTTTACCAGCGGTAGAAGTGGAAGGGAGACGATACAAAAATATTACCGGTAGGTATTTAAAATACTACTTAATAAAAGTTCACAATGTCTGCTACTTAAGATTTGTATATGGCTATTAAAATTGTATAGTTCACGGGGGCGCCTGGGTGGCTCAGTCGGTTAAGTGTCCAACTTTGGCTCAGGTCATGATCTCGCGGTTCACGGGTTTGAGCCGCAAATCGGGCAGAGCCTGCTTCAGATTCTGTTTCCCTCTCTCTGCCCCTCCCCCATTTGCGTTCAGTCTCTCAAAAATGAATAGATATTAAAAATAATTTTTTAATTGTACAGTTCACCAATATGTGTAATTAAAAATAATTTAAATCACCTTAAAAATATGATACAGATGAAAGGAAAATTAAGTGCCCCAAATTTTCATTAAGATTTTTAACCATATTGTTTATTTTTAAATATCATCATTATTTAAGAATCTGAGGTATTGCTAAAATCCAAGTAAGGCAGAAAAACAATGTAAGGGAAGTGAAGGGATAAGGTAGCAATTTTTGTAGAAGGTGAATTTCCATTTATAAAATAAGTAGGAAATATGGTATTCTGGTTAATAATACATTAGTTAAGAATATTAGAAGTAGTACATTTTAAAGAGCACTATGGTTCGACACCATGTTACTAAACAGCCGTGTGACCTTAGGAAACAACCCTTACTTCACAACTAGATGATTACAAAAGTCCCTTATATTCTAAAATATCAGTCAACAACTATCGCTCACCTGCCAAAGCCATCTAGCACCCATTTTCCCAAGTTTAAGGACAGTTTTTACAGCTGAATATTTGCAGTCAAAATGATGACAGGGAACACTAACTTTGAAACCCAGTGAAGAGTAATGTTACTCCACCTGTAAGAATTCTCATTAGGCCAGGATTACAAAATGTATACTCAATTATGGTTATTTTGAATCTTATCAATAAAAAATTTGTGTAAATCTGTTTTCTCTTGGTGTGTAAGTACTTATATAATATCCTTGATTTTTCTTCTTGGCCTGCAAAGCCCTTTATAGAAAAGGTTTGCTGACCTTTGCTCTAAAACATTATGGTTCAAGAGATCTTATAAGACTTTATGAACCATTTTATTCTATGACTCCATTATTTTTAAATGCCCACATTTAAAGTCTAATGAAACATATCCAACACAAGCTATACTAAACGTAACGTTTCTCTAATTCAGAGAGTACTATATGTTTTTTAGTCTCCATATCATTAAGTCATACAAGGCAAGTACTGTTCAAAATGCTTTAGATAAATTGTATTTTTGTAAAAAAAACTTAACTTTCAATATTTCTAATATTTTAATTACCTTGCACTAAATAGGAGTTATACATTTTCCTTTCCCTATACTTATAACCCACAGTAAAAAAAAAAAAGTTTTAAAGACTGATGAAATCGTTAAAGGTCACAAAACAATTATTACAATTTCCCCCCACTGATTTTTTTAATGTTTATTTATATTTGAGGGAGGGAGGGAGAGAGAGAGAGAGAGAGAGAGAGAGAGAGAGATACAGAGCACAAGTGAGGAGGGGCAGAAGAGAGAGGAAGACATAGAATCTGAAGCAGGCTCTAGGCTCTGAGCTGTTAGCACAGAATCCAATGCTGAGCTCGAACCCACGAACCATGAGATCATAACCTGAGCCAAAGTTGGACACTTAACCAACTGAGCCACCCAGGCACCCCTTCCCCCACTGATTATTACCATAGCTTACATGTTTTCAGCTTGCATGGTTATCTTTCTGGTCCCACAAAATGCTTGTATTTTTATAGTCCCACCAACACACCCTGTATTCATTTTAATGTTTCCTTTCAAAGCTATTTGAGGTCACTTAAACTGGAAGACATTTATCACTAAAAAGTAACCAAGATTACAAGGACAAGGGGCAATAGGGGGGAGGTAGAAAGTAAGTATCAAAATACTGAAAGTAACAATGTGATACAGCCACAGTATTTTAAAATAAGTTGAAATTTTTAAAGAAACGCAATACTACTTTGTATTTGTGTAGCAATATACAGTTTAAAACATTTTCCCACACATTACCTAATTTTATCCTCAAAGGACAACTCCTATCTTATGGAGGAGAAAACTATGGATCAGAAGAGTTACATAATAACATTAAGGTCAGACAGCTGATAAGTAGTGATCCTGAAACTAGTCTCACTGGTCTTAGTGTATTACACTCTACACATTGTGCTATCTTTACTCAACCTTCTACTAACTGATTAAACTGAAATGAAAAATTCATTTTACAACTACCAGCATAAACTTATTATAAAGCAGTGATTCTCAAAATATGGTCCCAGGACCACAGCAGTACCACCACCCAGCCCCACAAAGACTTACTGAATCGGCAACTCTGTGTGTAGAGTCCTACAATCTGTGTTTTAACAAGGCTTCAAGAGGATTCTGATATACAAACAAGTTTAAAAATCACTGCTATAAAGCAGTTAAAACAAACGAGTGGAAGACAGATGGGTTTCATCCACCATGGCCACATCCATTTACTATATTTGTAAGACAAGTACACTTGAATGTATGCTAAAAAGGAATGACTTTTTAGTTTTCTTATAACAAATGCCCAGTAATACAATTTTTCAGGAAACTGCCTATTTTAATAAATTAGGGCTTGGAAACAGTTTGCTTCAGGTTGGCCTTCAACAGAAGAATCAAGAAGTAAACTAATTAATTCTCAATTATTAAAGGAAGAAAATACACCCAGAAGAAAAAAATTATTAAAACATGAAATTAAGAAGTATTAGCATACTAATTAAGAAGTATTACTAATTAAGAAGTATTACAAATTAAGAAGTATTAGCAAACTAAAAACCACACAGTGTTTAATGCCAGAATTATTACAAGGATGACCACAAAGAGCACAGTATTTTTAAAAATGCTTTGGAAACACTAGATGGTGCAAATAGACAATACTAGATGTGGTAATAAAAATCATAACTTCTGAGCTAACATAATATAAAAATCAGATGATGAATTTGTTTAGTCATATGTAGGTTTTTAAACTATGTAGTCCTAGCCCTTTAAAAAAAAAACTATTACCAAAATTCTTTTAAGAATTATTTTCTCTCTAGCCATTAACTCTTCATATCCCTTCAAAATTAGTTTTATAAAAAGTTGTAAACCACAGAAACATAACCACTTCCTTATATATAGAAAGAAAGATTAATTTTTGGAGGAAATGGATCATTGTGAATTAGCATAAAAAGTACAGATTCAAAGTACTTTGAAAGAAATACAAGTTTTACTCCTTCCAGGTACATTAAATAACTAGAACCAAGTGAAGAGTTGATAAGGCACAAGACTTACTTACTGAACAGAAAAGAATGATTTATTAAAAGATAACTGATTATATACAAGTTATATGCCTGATTTCCTAAGTATATAAAATATTCCCTCTTACAATATTACGTTTGTTATCAACATGCTTAGCAGCTTTCTTGTTGTCCATCGAAAGTACAATATAAACTTCAAAATAACAATATAATTCAACATTCTCTTAGCTATATACTATGAGTGATTT